TGGGGTTGGCAGACACATGGACAATTCCATCCTCCAGCAACACCCATGGAGGCATTTGAGATGTCTTGGATATTTATCAAAAATGAAGCTGTTCAGAAGCCTTGAAACATTACAGATCTGTGCATTGTGTAAGATATTGGGGAGAAATGCTTCCCTGGGAGGGTGTGAGGCCCTGGCACAGGTGCCCAGAGCTGCCCCTGGATCCCTGGCAGTGCCCAAGGCCAGGCTGGAAGGGCTGGGAGCAGCCTGGGACAGTGGAAGTGTCCCTGCCCATGGCAGGAGGTGGCACTGGGTGGGTTTTAAGGCCCCTTCCAACCCCAACAATCAGGGTTTAGTGATGGGCTTGGCAGTGTTGGGTTTATGGTTGGACACGATGATCTTAGAGGTCTTTTCCAACCTGAATAATTCCATGTTTCTCTATCTTCCAGCTTTGGAAAGAGCTCTCATAACTAGAGTTTATATATATATCTATATATACATACACACACAACACCATATTCACCAATAAAGAAGCAGCAGATTAAAGAACTTTTCTGTTTAGGGTAGTAGCTATGAAAAAATCATTTTTCAAAATGCCTGCAACTAGCTAAAAGTGGCCATCCATAAGCTGATCTTCCATAATTAGTCAGATAAAAGTGTAAGCAAAGTTAAAAAAAAAAAAAAAAAAAAAAGGAGGAAAAAAATCAAAGGGTGGGGAAAGAAGAAGAAAGAAAACTTGCTCCAGGGAAGAAGCAACTGTTCTCTGATGTGCAGCAAGGAATTTAACATCAAAGAACTAATGTAAATGGGGCCCATTTACCTCAAAAAACAACACACCACTCCACATTCTGGAATATTTCTATTTTAAGTTTGACAGCATTATGCTTTGTACCAAAATTCAAGATTGTGTAATTTGATAGATGTCAGAAGAAAATGACCTTCAGAATAGCTAATGGTGGTAATCTTTGTTATTAAGTATGTTAAAACTCTCTGTACAATATCTGTTTAAACTTCAGAGATCAGCAGATCACCTTTAAAGTTCATCTGATTGTACATAAAAATTCCATTTGGACTCAAAGCCTAAAACATGCATTTTCCTTATGTGCCCCTAACACTGACAGTGGGTGACTTCCTACACCAAACTCCTGCTCTTTCTCCTGCTCTCCCCACCAATCAGAAAAAAAATGAAAGCTGGATCTCTGTTCAGCAGTGAAAATAGCACACACAGTTCAAATATGTAATCTGAACCACCCAAAAAACCATTAAAAATAGTTGAATACCCAAAATGATGTTAACAGAATAATTAGTCAAGTACCAAATGACTTCAAGGGTTTTGAAAATGAATGATAGAAATCCCAAAATCCTATTAATATTCTATTTTACATTTCACTTTTGGAGGTCTACAAATCTTTTCCTTTTATTTTATTTTCATTAAACTTACATCTTTAGGAGAAAAAAACCACTCTCATTCATGCGTGAAGTGCTTTTCATTGGGAAAAAACACAAGAATGCATAAAAATGACTTTGACAGTACCTGCACAGAGAATTGCCTTTCTGCAGCACATTGCAGTTCTGTGCTCAATGGGGGCCCACTGAGAAACTGCTTCTGCAAACTGTGCCTTAGGAAAACTCCAAATTCCAGACTTCTCATTTAAACCAACAGAGTATTTCCAATAATTCTGAAATTCTGCAGAGGAATTAAATACAGGCATTTTTAACTCACCCAGACAGTCTTCTGTGGGACTCCAGCTGCAGGGCAGCTGAGGCCCAGGTCACACCAGCCTTGCACCAGGACACAATTATTACCTTCATCAAATGGATTTACTCAGCATCTAAATATTCCCCAGCACCACTAATGCCAATTTCCAGTCAATATTGCTGTCAGCCAGGCACATTATTTCAAACTGGCCTAAGATACCAGCCTTGAATACAAGACAAGGATTTAAAACCAGATTAACAGCCTGGGTTTGCCACATGCAATTGTTTAATGCTTGAACTACCCTTTACAGAAGACAATTCTGAGTTTATCAGGCACTCAAAGGGCTGGCAGAGAATTGTGGTTTAATCTGAAGATGTTCTGGGCTATTTTGCCAAAAGATTGCTGGGTGTGATAAGCTCAGGGCTGGGATATGGACAGCACAGCAAAGACAGATGATTTTTGTTTGATTTACTCACATCAATCATCTGTGAGATGACTATTGGTGAAATCAGTGTGGTGTTTTGTGGTGACAGAGATGAAGAGATTCCAATGATCATCACAGATGTCACTGCCTCTCATCTGCCATCCATCACACCAGGCAGCTGGGCTCGAGATTTCTCATTATCTTCCTATTTCACCAAATCTGGGGCCAGGTTTTATATTATGGCACGATCCTTCCCACAGCTCCACACTCAAGATGGGGTAAACCCGGTGAAGATGGGGAGACTGCAACACTCCCCACTTTAGAGTCTCTAAATCACATTCCTGGATTACCATTTTAATATTTCCTGCTTTTCTCCTCTTCTGTCCAACCAAACAAAGATGGTTATTTAAACTGAGTTTAAGACATTATATCAAAAGTGCTGGCATGTTCTTTTTCAGAGCTTCAACAAAGAAAATGTGCAGCCAAGAGGAATTACTTGAGCTTTGACAAGCTGCCTTTATCCCTGAGAAAAGCAGGCACTTCTCTCACAAGCTCGGGCTCTCCCCACTCTGATGTAAAGAAGCTTCCAGAATCACTCAGGCCCAGACATTTCTGGTACCCACAGAGCTGACACACAGCAAAACCACGAGGGGACAGCCTGTGAAACACCTTTGAAGATGCAAGTCAAAGCTAAAGCTTCCTCCACACATAGAAGGCAACAGTCCCAAGATGTGACACTGATCCACGACTTGACTCGGTTAAATATTATTTAATATGAGTTTAACAAAACATGATTCTTTCAGAAACTGGAGATTTCTGAGACTCAGGCACTGATAAATCATTATTTATCAGCTAAATTGACACACCTTGATTTTTGCCAAGGAGAGACTTTAAGGCTCCTGAAAGAATTATAAAGGGATAAGAATGAAGTTTTTAGATTTTGCATTGCTGTTTTAAGTTGAGTTTTGTGGCAAGAACAAGCATTTATTAAGAGGACAATGAGTAGAAAAATATTCTATGTATGTATAATTTTAAGACAGAATCTTTGCTATCAAGAAGAAGAAAAAGTGGGAACAAAGGACAAACTCTGTACCCCTGAATTAACTTGGTATCACTAAATTAACTCAGTATCATGAAGCTAACTCAGTATTTTGAAGTTACATCATTAGACAAGAGCCCAGCAAAAGTTAAGCTACTACAGCTGGAAAGACAGACACTGAAAACACAACAATATCCCCCAACAAATCTGTGATCTGAAGCCATCAGTGCTCCTTAGCAAGATTATGTTGGATTATTTTCTGTATTTTAAATGCAACAAAGCTTCCCCAAAAGAGCGACAACTTCCCGGAGCCAGAGCGCGTTACCGAGCCGAGGAGAAACTTCCCAAGTCCAGCAAAGGCCCAATTAAAAAGAAAATGGAATATACTGCTCCATCATCAAAGCAATTAAAAACATAAATAAGGCATTGCAAGACTCTTAACATTCCCAATGTTTAATTATTTATCTGTTCTCTGTCCTGCAGCTGTAGGTCAGAATTAACTCCTCTGAACTAAATACAGGAGAACTCTTTTGGGGATTTGTACCTCATTCATTTTCAAGCAAACATTCAAATTCATTTCAAATTCACACAAGAACTGCAACAGTTTCACCTAAATCAGATTTTCTACAAGTTAAACACCCCTCCTACACTCAGATGTGATTGTGAAACTACTTTGATCTCTGTTCCCAAATTTACTGCTCTGTGTAATCCATGACAAAATATAATGTGATTTACTGTATCTCTATATGACAGCCCAGCAGCTGACAGAACTTAATAATTCAGCATAAGAAAAAAACCCTTCTGGCACCAAAATATACAAATCATAATTGAGGCACTTTAGTATCACATTACAATGAAGCACATACAGACTGATCATAAGAACTTCAAAACAATTAGAATTCTTTCTCACCCATTTAATGAAGGTGGGTTTTACTCCATGACATGTTCTGCAGCTGTAAGCAAGTCATTTTGGAGCACTTTTCTTTCTTCATATTAATGACTCTGAAGGACTAATAACATTGTTTTACCCCTTCCCTATTTCCCAAACACTCCTTCTCCAAAAAGAAGAAGAAAAAAGCTACCTGCAGCTTTTCTCTATTATAATGATATGAAGAAAGAGCAAATGAGTGTAAACAATGTCTTCAAATCATGCCAGTATTTAAATACACAATTACTATGTTTTACATTAGTTTGGTCTTGATCACTGAGCATATTTTCCAAACAAAGCTATTTGGAAATCTGGTTTTTTATTGTGCTGACCTAAGCAGGGATGTGATGGACACGTTCCATGGGGCACCTTCTGCAGTGGCTGATGCTGATGCTGGGTTTTGGGGGACTTGAGAAAGTCTCTGTGCAAAGGATGCATCATCCCAGAAAGTTCCAAGCAAAGTAAGAATGTGGAGCTCGTGGATACAGGAGGATTTTCTACTTCTAATTCCAAGGAACAAACACCAGTTACCGTTTTTTGCACAACCAAAACCAGGGAGGAGCCCCAGTGAAACCAGCAGGGATGGCTGCAAGGACTGGGATCCAGGAGCAGGGAATCCTTCCTGTCACACCTGCCCAGGAACACAGACCTCACTCAACAATTCTCAACAAATCTAAGAATCAATTGGTCGAGTTGTTAAAATAAAAAAACTCACCAGTAACCTCACATTCCAGCCAGCACCACACTGGAAAACAGCCAATGTTTTCCAAATATTATCACGTACCCAGGAATGTAAGGATAAGCAAAATTGGGAAATTAGACAAAACTGGACCTACAAGCAATCAGCCTTTTCCAAGACACAAGGTACTGGGGGAAAAGGGAGAGAATGAGGTCATGATTCAACTGGGCTTTAAAAACTATTTAATAAAGCTGAAATAATAAGCAATTGTGTATTACAAGATAAAGTCGGTGTGTTACAGGTTGTTTGGAGAGTGAAGAAAGGCTCGGGAAATGATTGAAAAAATAATTAAAACAGTTGTTCTGCCACTGGCAAAACCTCAGCATTCACCTTATCCACCATCCCCATGACTTTGTGAGTGTTGATCTTATGAAAACACTCTGAAGGATAAAACCTGGAAGTTCTGGGATGGAGAAGAGGCAGCGTGTGCCCAGGTGCTGCAGAACGGGGAGGGGTGTTTGGGCACACACTTGAAAAAGAAAGAGGAGACAGAGACAACAAAAAAACCCCACCTGTGAATGCTTCTTCAACAGACACTTCAGACAAATTCCAGTTCATTAAAAACCCACTAAACCCTAAAAAACCCAGGCAAACTTCCCCAAATACCCAGCTATCATTGATATGACAAGACAAGAGTAAAGTGTGCTGAAAGATGGGCCACATGACTGAGCTTTAATTTTAATCATATCAGTTCCTGCCCTGCTAAAAGCCAACTTTTTAATTCCATATTTTGTCATAATTTATCATTTAGCTCTTGTCTGGTTCTCATTTCTTAACAGCATTGCTTCAATCATTTTCAGTTTTAACCCTGTGGTGCTATTTGTGAATGCAAATAATGGTGTCTGATCTCCCTGCAGGCATTAATGAAGATATTAAAAAGTGAGCCTGTTGCTCATGGGTGCACATTTTTTTTCCCCACAGTGACAGTTAAACCAATTTCTTCTGGAACTCCTAACTCTGGAACCAGACTCAAAAATACAGCTGATGAGCAGAGATCTGACTTGTTGTTTTCTGGACTGGTTTTTTGGAGTTTTTATTTTTTTAAAGGAGATAGGACTCTGTGTACAGTAAATGTGAATAACTGCAGCTCTTGCTTTGAAACATCTCCAGTAGGGAGAGTGCCATAAATTCTGTTTAGTGCTATTTGAGTGAAATATCCCTGAGATGATTCTACCATCTTTTTCTTCATGTTTGGCTCTGTTGATTGAAGACTCTTCCAAATGGTTCCCCTGAGGGATGATGCAATTCCTGTGACCATGTTCCTGGTCCACCATCATCCCGCTTTTTCTTTGGAGGAATAAAAAGGAGCAGTGCAAAAAGGGACACACTACAGAGGAAACAGGTTTTAAATGGATTTGTTGAAAGGTACTATCAAGACAGATTAAATAATCTGCATTCTTTGTGCTAATATACATTAAAAATATTTCCTCTTCGTGAAATACATTTCTTCTTGATCTTTTGGCGTTATGTTTTGCTTTTATTTGATATTTTGGCATCATGTTTTGCTTTTACTTGATCTTTTGCCACCACATTTCTGGTTTTGCTAGATTTTCTTCAACAAAGCCAAATATACTGCACTCATTTTTATTAATATTAGTTGTTGAATCACTATCTCTGTGTCAGAAACATTCAAGAACCAAATGTAATTTAATATACACAGGCTCCACAAAACAAAAACAATAAAAATATTACTGCTCTGGAACACAGAGATAGTATCAGAGACAATAGTTCTTGGATTTTAATGAAAAAAATTAAGAGACTTGGGAAACATCCAACTCTTCTTGGTAAGAATTGGAGGGCTCTTTAAATTATTCATAGCTGGGGCCTAAGCTAAATAATTGATGTAATAGACTCAAAATAAGTTTAAGAAAATGGCACATCTACAAGTGGTGGGGGTCCTGCCTGCATCCAGCGAGGACACAAACAGGTCTGCATTACAATTAGACACAATTTAATGAGATCATTACACTTGGGAGGAATACACATCCACTTTTTATGGCTGACCTATTTGCCCCCATGTAAATAACCAGGGAATCACTGCAGTGAGTGTGAAAACAGCTCCTCTGAGTGCTCCCACAAACAAACTTATCTGCAACTGTGGTTTCAGTCTCCAAGTTAATGAAGTGAAAGGTGTCAGATCAAAGGTTCCATGCAGCCAGTTCTCAGAAGGTCTTAGGGACAAAGATGGAACCATTTTTGGTGCTAATGAAATGTGGAGTTGGCAGAGAAGAAGCAGAGCTGGAGAGACAGGACACAGAAATGGGACCACATGGAAGGCACGAGATGCTTTTACTTTAGGAGCAGAAGTAACTGTTTAGGGGAAACTCAGTACTTTTAATCAAGTATCTCTTGGAGCATCTTTCATGTCAGAAGATGTCATATTCCTTCCCTTCATCTTCTATCTCTTTGCCAGTGCTGAACAGTGTGACATCATCTGCAACAGTGCCAGAACAGATACTGTGAATCACAGATATTCCTGCATATGCAGCATGAAAATATGCCCAGGGAGCTACATCCAACTGGGCTGCTCTAGGGCTGTGCTGGGTGAGGAATTAATCCAGCATCACACAGCCTGATGCTGAAGGAGGGACTGAAATGTCCCTGGGGCACATTATCAGTACCTTATTTGCAAATTATATGCAAGAAGTTGCTCAGAAAATAAGTATCCATCTATAGGACACTGTCGGAAGAGTTTTGAAAAGGGCCCCGTTACAAAAACATTATATTGCAATATAATTATATATTTATAATATAAACCGTTATATAGAATAATTATTCCTAATTAAGGAAGTGGACACTTACAGAGTGACTTTAATTTTAAGGTCCTAGAGTATCTGAGTTTTATGTGGACTTCACACCAGATACAGGTGGAGTGATTGTACCAGGTAAAAACTGTAAACATCAGATTTGATTTAAAATCACAGAAATGTCAGAGTACATCTAACATCAACATCATTAAAGTTCTACAAGCAGGATCTGCATGGCTCTGGCCAGGTTTTATGCCACTTTGGTATCCATCACTCCAGAGGGAACCACTTCACAGCTTCCCTTCATCAGAAGCAGCCCCAAAAATAAAGTGTTTAACTCAGTTTTTGGGGTTTTTTTTTGACTAAAGATTTGTCCTAATAATCAAATTTCATGTGTGCTCAGTACAGTCAATACACAAAAATGTAAATTACTTCTCCACAAGAAAAGCAGCACTGACAGAGAATTAGATGTTCCTGGAACCTGCATAAACCTTTAACAGAATGAGTCAAAATATCTATTTAAATATAGAAAAGAAGTCAATAAAAAGCTAAATGTTGAAAATTATTTAGAGAGAGAAAAAAAAAACCAACATCATCATCTTGTCCCACTCCAGTTTACTCATGTGTGCTGCTCAAAGGGAGCTTTTTTATGAGATATTTTCAGTGTTCCAAGGTTGCTTCCTTTGAGCATTGTCAGCCTGTCCAGTGCTCTGCTCGGGCCGTGCTTGCTGAATGCTCGTTTCCTCTGCCAAGAAAATCCCACAGAACGCTGCAAGCAGCGGCCAAGCCCCACATCTGCACACACTCAGACTTTGTCTCCTGCTTTCAGTCACTCCTGGCAAACCTGGAACTGCTCCGAGCTTTGTGCACTCCGCTGCACCTGGCTGGGGAGCGGCCGTGCCCCGAGTGCTGCTGATCAACCCGGAGCACACCTGGCCCTGCCCAAACAGGGCTGCGTGCCACAAACACCAACAATCACAGCATGCCCTGCCTGGAAGGGACCTTAAAGCCCACCCAGTGCCACCCCTGCCACAGCAGGGACATTTCCACCATCCCAGGCTGCTCCCAGCCCCGTCCAGCCTGGCCTTGGGCACTGCCAGGGATCCAGGGGCAGCCACGGCTGCTCTGCGCCTCACCACCCTCACAGGGAAGGATTCCCTCCTTTGCAGAAAAATGATCCTAAAACTTCTGTCAGCTCAACCAGGTAAGTACAGAAAATGCTGAACAACCCCTGTATCTTACAGGAGCAAAGCAGGAAAAAAGGTGTACAATCCTAACAATGTCCCAGGAGTCTCCACCAAACACCAGTCCTGAGAACCCCGAAGTGCTAAGGGAGTGCTCAGGAACTGACATTACAATAAACAATGTCCCAGCCATAAAGATGGGATTTTTAAGCAACAGAAAATTAAAGACCTCAGTAAATCATGTGTCCCTAAGTATCAAAAAGATGTCTACAAACACCAACAAATATTGAAATATTTAGTGTGTCTGTAATGAAAACTCTTCCTTCCTCTGTCTCTGCTCCTCACTCTTCTCCTTCTCGTCCCCAGAGGAGCAGGAGGGCAATGCCAGAGGAATCCTGGATCTTCTTCACCCATTTACAGTTCTGTTTTTCTTGTCATTGAAGTATGAATCATTTTTTTTTCTATTTCCTCATGTTCAAGTTAACAGTCCACAATGACACAAAGCAATCCACACAGAAATTAACATTATTCCCAGAGCAGATCACAGAGGAATTAGATCCCTCACTTGAGAATGAAGTGACCTTCAGAAAATCTGGCCAGTCACATATTCCACGCCTAAACTGCGAAATTCAGCTTCCCACTGGATTTTTAAGCAATCTTCACAGAATTGGCACCATAAAAAAAGTTAATTTAGAGAACAAATTTTTCTCTCATATTGCCTTAAATTTCCAGGTAACAAGATCTGGTAGAAAATATTTTCAAAACCAAATTTCACAGCTCATGCTGCAATTAAGGTGCTTTTTTCCCCCCTGATGGATAAAATCATATTCATCAAGGTTCTGTGGACTAGGACCAAGATTTGAACTAAATTAGCTGAAGCTGCTACGTTTGAGCTTTAAATGAAGTTTGCCCTCTAAGCTACTTCGAATTTTGGATTTTGTGGCCAATTTCCACAGTTCTACAATTGCAAGACAGAAATGAAACAGAATGGGGAATGGAGATTTGAAGGTAATGCCAGGTATTTTCACATGTCTGTGAAAGACTTTTCAACAGAGATACTTTTTTCTTTTCCCCTCCTATCTTTTACTCAACATGTGCTCTTCAGATTAGGGTAAAAATAGGGAAGTAGGTTAAAGAAAAAAATACAATAGCAGTTAATATAGCTTAAAATTAGCAAATTTTTTTAAAAATAGAAAAAAATCCAACAAATTAAAGAAAACCAGTATTTCTGACAAAAATGACAATTCAAGACTATTAGAGATATTGCCCAATGAAGGATTATTTGTAACTTTAATTTGAGGATGTAAAGAAGTTAACTTTTCTTTTGCTATACTACACATGTAAAAAAAGATCAAAGAAAGAAAAGAATTGAGATTCAAATTCCATTTTTAAGCAAAAATGACAATGTCTTCCTGAGTTAAAATTAATCCTTTAATGATGAATTTCAAAGGTTTAAATACTTTCTGTGACCTTGGCTTTAAATAATTATGCCAAGCAGAGCTTTCCTTACATTCAGAAAAGATTCTGAATTGTTGATCACAGCCATTTTAATGGCTTCAGGCTGGCTGATTTCCAACATAATCCTCCGAATGCTCTTTAAAATTACAGACCAAGAACCTGACGCAGGTAAATGAAATGTCACTTGCACAAAGGCTGCTCAAACACTCCATGCAGATTGTTAATTTGTGCCACTGCACATCCCCTTGCAAGAAAATGTGTGATTTAGTGCCTTAATGCAATGTCTAAAAGAGACTTCAACAACTATCTGCTTACACATACACAGAGTCTACCATAAATATTAAGTAGGGTTTTTTTGGCTTTTGAAATAAAACTTGCATGTTTTACCTTCCTAATGGGGGGAATACTTGAATTCAAGACAGGGGTCCAAGGGATGCTCAGCAAAAAGTAGGCAGTGACCCCACAGAACAGAATGGGAGGGAAGCCTTGATCAATCTGAAACATTAATTTCTATTTTCAAATCTTACCATAGTCCTTTCTCACCTGATGTACCCCACAGACAAAATTAGACCAGCCACTGTGAGCAACCAGACACAATTTCCTTGAACCCTGAGCCTGAGTTTTCCCCTCCTTAAGAGCCCACCCTCTTTTTAAGGGAGAAAAAGCTTGGCTAGGCAGAACCACCCTTTCCACTGTCTCTGCTCCAGCAGAGGAAGATCAGCCTGCTCCTGGCTGGCTTTACCTGAGAAATCACCTGTGTTTTTAAAGTGCTGTTGGCTCCTGAGCACCTCATGGCACCTTCCATCCCTGCTGGAGGTGCTGCCCGGCCCCAAAGCTTTCCATCACAGAACCCCAGAACGCCCCACACTCGTGCTGTGACTCTGGCATCCCATGGTCTGCATCTGTTTTTTCAACTCAAGTGACCCCTAAACATTTTTCCTTAGGGAAACTTTGCTCAGCTGACCTTTGGGGTGCTCACTCCCCTTTTGCCCTGCAGAGCTGCTCTTTGTGAATCCCTCACCTTTTTCAAGGCCGCCTCTGTCTCTGCCATGTGCCTCTTTTTCAGGTCTGATATCACTTTTTCCATCTCCATCTTCAGACTGTTCAGTGCTGCCTCCTTGTCTCGAGATGCCTTCAGCTTCTCCTGGTCCCGCTGGAAGCTCAGGTCCAGCAGCTGATGGTTCCTCAGAGCGTTGGCCTGGATCAGCTCCTCCCTCAGCTTGCAGATTTGGCTCTCCAAACCAGAGATCACCTGAGAGAGAGAGCAAACAAAGTGACAAAACCCAAACCTGACACTGTTGAGGCAGGACGGGAATGAACAGACTCTGTTTAGAAGGTGAGAGAACAGAACTCTGATTTATTTCAAAATACATCACTCTTTTATACAGAGCTTTGTGTAGACCAACTCTATTGGTCCTGATGTGAAAACACACCACACTATTGGTGTGCAGTGAATGATGTACAGCAGCAAAACTTAACTATAAACAATGTGAACAACAAGAGAGATAAAGAACCTTATTTACATTCTTCTCAGCAGTTTCTCAGGCTTCTGCCTGGTTAGAAACTTTCTGTTTCTCTCTGAGAATACCCACACAAACCCACAACACAAAACCCACTGGTTTCCTCCAACAGGCTGTCACCTGGGGGTGGAGCAGACTCAGAGGATGCTCTGTCCCTTTTCCTGGCCCCTCTTCTTGCTCTTCCCTTTCTCATCCTGCACATGGATAAATACAGCTCCTCCTGCCCACAGCCCTGGTGATATGGACACTTTTGGAGGAGAAATTGAGCTTGAGGCATATAATCACTACATATCCTACCTATGACTTCTTTTTTTATCCTTAAGAAGTGACCTGCATCATTCTAAAGAGATATCAGAGCATCATCAACAATTTATCAACCACTGCCTGCCCCCGATGGGGGAACATAAGGAGGGAGGGATGGAAGTGGCAGGAATAAAACTGTGGTACTCTTTGTTGAGTTTTGGTTTTTTTTCTTCTAAGGCCAGGCTCAGGATTAAATGTGCAACACATTAAATGTGTTCTTGTTTGGATTTAGATATTTATTAGTTTTTATTTACATTACAGTCCCACAAGTTGTGAGTTACGGTACTTTAACAAGTTAAAACCAGAGACATATTTCTCTTTATATAAGGCCTTTTAAGGATAAACTGTCTAATTAAGAATTTATTAAATTATTTAAAAATTATTTTATTTAAAATTTATTTTTATTATTAAATAATTAAATTATTTTTATTTAAATTACTTTTATTTTTAGTCTAATAACTAACTACTTGTACTCTGCAATGTGGACTTTTTAATCTAATTACACAATTCTACTTGAACTTATGGAGAAGAAGGCAAAGAGGAAGGTAAAGAGGAAGGACTAGCTTCTGTCCTAAAATTTTTATCTTGCTTCATATACATTACTAGATTCTAAAACCTTAAACTCGAAGTTTTCTACTATGTGATATTACACACTTCTATTCAAACTACACACTTCCATTTTGGAAGTCTTCCCTATGGCTTCAGGTCGAACGCAGTGTTCTCTTGGGGCTCAGTGTTTGCCAGTATAGACAGTAAAATTCTCAGTAACCAGGGTTCTATCAACTCCTAATTCCACAGAATTCACTCTGCTACTTTACCACAGGAGAAGATACACACCAATTACTTCAGATTACACTTACTAACTCTCACTAGTTACTTTTCTAATTCCATTTCCTCTGTGGGTTCTTCACTGGGGTACAGGAGCATCACCTCTGGGACATAAAGCACTGTCCTTACAGCCAAGTGTGATGGATGACACTGAAAGCACATCTATGTGCTCATTCATAAGTGCAATTCTGAACATGAGCACTTTCACTGCAAAACTCACACAGAATTTCCCCCTTTCTCCTCCCTGTTTCACAAGAAACTTCGCAGTTGCCTGGAACTCTTTCACGGGATGTGAAAATACTGAGAGCAGAAACTGATGTTCTACCAAGGAAGCACAGGTGACTCAGCTCAAGCTTATTAAAGGTTTCACAGGAAAATCTGAGGAAAAGCAGTGTATATTTAAAGTTCCCATTGTCCTGGAATGCCAGTTTCTCTCCAACAACTATTTTTCTTCTTCAGACATTTTTAATACGCTGTCTGTACTCAGCTACACCATTTATTTGCAGCCTCTGAGAACCACATTAGTACAAAACTCTGAAAAGGAAACATTTGTTTCTGACCAAAGCTGGGACATGAATGACTATCAGATCTACTGCCTTGTACATTAATCTCCCAAGACAGATTCCTATAAGTACTGTGATCTGAGAGAGGGGGGGAAAAAAAATCAAGGCTTGAAAGTTTGCCTATTTTTTCAAGCTATTTGAACTATATAGTGTAATAAAAGACATCATCTCCCTTCAAACCTTCAGTTTGTCCTTCAGCTATCCCAGCTGTAACATGCATTAAATAATATCAACCATCTCAGAAACGTATTTTGCTCCCATGCTTTCTTAATTAGTCACTGGCATTAGTCCCTACTATGTCAAAGGTAAGAGTGTGTGTATGGTGGAGAAGGAATGAGCACGTCATTTGTATACAGAACTCTACCACAGACCACATATTTCAGCCCTATCAGCATTATCTCAAACATATGTTTCATATACTGTAATCTGTGCTAGATCCTTTCCTTCCTTTCCTGAGCTTTTCCTCTACACATGTTTAATTTCTTATTAAATCTGTATACAGACTAAAAACGTAAAGTAAGTTTCAGTGTATAATTATAATCCACAATGTACTTTTATAATTCTTTCGGAAAATGATTTCATCTCCAGATCACAAGAACATGACAGCCTGCCTGGCTTTTCCTTAACCAAAGCAGCACTAACTCAATGAAGATAAGAGCTGCAATTGCTGATGGGTGATATGGTCTGAGTTCCAAACTGACACACTGAGAATTTGGGGTTTTTAACAGCTGCCCCAGTGCAAGTCCTGCCTGAAATAGCCACAATTATCTTTTAATCTGTGAGAGTTCTTTTTGAAAGCTCATTCCCCCACTCTCCTTTTTTTTCTCCTATTTTAAAATTAAAGACTTCCTTTAATTATACCCCCAATACACACACATAAGCGAAACTAAGAAATTACATTGCTCAGAAGTTCCCTAAAAAGTTTGTTAAAATATTTAGGATAAGAAATCAAGGCAAACTTTTTATAATACAAGGAAAATTAATTGACAAATGACACTACAGGCCAAAATAAAGACTGGGTAAATTCCTGTTACACCTTTTAAGCCTTACTTCCTTCTTTACTCAATGGTTCTTACACAAAGTCATTAGAAAATGAAACACAATCCAGTGTTTTCTGTAAGGGGAAAGTAACAGCTCCCGGCCTTCAGAGCCAAAACTGGGGACAGCTGAGAGTGAGCTGAATGTTATAGGTAAAGCAACAGTAATTAATATGCAAAGGAGCATTAATGTTGGACCTAATAGATGGCAAAAGCAGATTTGGTTCTATTAGGGAAGAAGAAAGACGCTGAAGACGGGGTGATGGCAGCGAAACTAATATGATTAAAGGAGTCCCTTTGGAGCAACTTCACTGCGAGTAAGATGATGTTAAGAGACATCTAATCTCTCCAAAGTGACTGGAAAAAGCTTATATTGGGGATCACAGACACAGTTCTTGTCAATTACTTTCAAATAAGTCCAGTTCTCACAGGCAGATTAGTTTTTCCCATAAACAAAGTCAGTGGCAGAAGCAGCTTACGCCCAACTCGGTGCCTGAGACAACTCTGTGTGACACGGACATGTCCCCACTGCTGCAGGAAATGAATCCCAAACTTTCCAGCACTAAGACTCTGCTATTCCACATGCCAGGTTTAATAAACTATTATTACACTTACATGTAGGCAAATTAGGGAATAAAAAAAAAGCCCCAAGATTACTTAATTCTCTGTTGCGAAAAATCCATGAAATATAAAACTTCTGAGCAACTGTCTTTTCTTAACGATTCTGTGGGAAAATAAAAGCTGCAGTTACAAAATCTCACTTCTCAGGCTCCAGATCCAACGGCAGGATGGTTTCCTTGTAACACTGAGTCCTCTTTCTCGGTCTTGGTTTCTCAAATTCTGCTCTGGCTGCCCAAATCTCTGTTTGGGAACCAAATGGTTTGTACGGTCCAAACAACTGCTTGAGTACAAGAGCTGCTGTTAGAAAAACTCACCTTAAACACCTCATCTAAGCAAATCATTATTGTGCTAAATGAAGATTAAATGTAAGAAATAAGGGCTGACAGTATGTAATAGACTCAAAATGTTACTGCCACTTGCTGCCTTTTCTGGATCAAAGTGTTGTAGTCTCTATTTCAGTGGTGTGGGTACAAGCACATGAAATAAGAGAGATCTGTATCTATTTTAGAAAGGATGCAGAAGTCTGTAGCAATTCCCAGGATGGACATGCCACAGGAACATGTCTCAGACAAGGAAGCATTTTGTAAAATGACCATTAATCCACATACAGGACAACAAGTAGAAAGACAACACCAGCTTACACAGTTTCCCAAATGGAACAAAAATACATAAACTGTGTGACAGACATTTCATAAAGGTTTATGTGACATATTTGTATGTCCCTTAGATGAAGAAACTGCTGGCCAAGGTGGTGATTTCTATTTCTGTTTCAAAGAAATAACTTAGAATTCTAACTAAGAATATCTGTGCTGAAATAGTGTCATAAAAAGGGTGGGTCATAAGCCCACAGCAATTTGCCTGCAGGGAAAAAATAGACTTGAAAGAAAAAGAAGGTTGGTCACTCACTTTGGCCTATTTAAAATGCCAATAAATGTACTGCGTGTTATTTGGAAGGAAAACATGTGCTCTTAATTTTAAAAAGTAAATTGCATAAGAAAATATAAAGTTGGCAAAAAGTTTAAATTAAAATCTGTTGCTGATGTCTGAAACTCTGTTCCACTTACAGGCAACAGGGATGAGAAATGGACCGAATGACTACAGCCTAATTAAAAACAATAATAACACAAATTCCCTTTATTTTCCAGGAGCTGCTGCTTCACCCCCATGAAGCATTTCCTTGGATCAGTTTCTGAGGCAGAGGCTGGAGCATGACGACATCTCCACCCTGATGGGATGAGCGCACGGAGCTCGCTGCCTCCCTCCTCCCTGTGCCTTCCACACCAACCACATCCACCCAGCACCACGCTCGCTCCGGTGGCCAGGGCGTTGGAAAGTCACAAAAACAAGGCAGAGGAGAGCTGAGATGAAATGCGCTCCTCA